GGGGGGTGACTGGTGACAGTGGGGGGGGTGACTGGTGACAGTGAGGAGGGTGACTGGTGACAGTGGGGGAGGGGGTGACTAGTGACAGTGAGGGGGGGGAGGGGGTGGTTGGTGCCTACCTGCATCTCTGCTCCCTCTTCTCTCCCCGGCTGCTGCTCCTTCCCCTCGCTGGGCTCTGTGTGAGAGGAGTAAACAGGAAGTGATGTCACTTCCTGGCCCCGCCTCTCCCCATCACACAGAGCCGCATGGGAGAGGAAGCCGGAGACCTGGCAGGGAGGAGGTGAAGCTGCCAGGTCTCCATGGGGGGGGGGGATGTGCAGAGCGGTAGGTTGTGGGGGCCCCGTGCTGCATCAGGGGCCCCACAACCTATCGATTAAATAGTTCTATTTTATTATTTTGCCGTTCCAGTTGGAGAGATCTCAGATCTCTCCAGCTGGAACAAGGCTGTGCTGCCGGGCCCCTGACTGCCTCGGGCCCTCGGTCCATGACCGAAGTGCCCGAGTGGTCAGTCCGCCCCTGTTTGCATCTTTCTCAAAACGGGACAAATGTTCTCAGTGAGCAGTTCAGAGGTTTTGCTAGGATGTATTTAAACTAGGAGGGGGGGCAAAAGGGTTATAAAACATCAATCCAATTGTCCCCCAAAACAAGGACAGAAGGTGCCTGTAACAAGTGTGTTAAAACATGATAAGCTTAGAGTCATGTCTACATGTCTACAAATGCTCGTAGTTTAGGGAATAAGATCCATGAACTTGTGGCAATAATGGCAACTGATAGTGTAGATTTAGTCGCTGTTACTGAGACATGTTATAATGAGAAAAATTACTGGGACATAGCAATACCAAGGTACTCTTTATATAGAAAAGATAGGGAAGGCAAGAAAGGGTGAGGGGTAGCCCTGTATGTGAAGGATAGCATAAAATCTAGCCTAATAAAAGTTAGTGAGGCGAACATAGAGTCTGTTCATAGATGCAATTATTATTTCTGTGGCAAGTACATAAGAGGAGATAGAACCAAATGTTTAAATGATTTAACCAATCATTGTTAACAGGAGTTGTCCCAGAAGATTGGAAGTTAGCGAATGTTGTGCCCATTTACAAGAACGGTAATAGGGAGGAGTCGGGCAACTATAGGCCAGTAAGCCTTACTTTAGTAGTGGGGAAAGTAATGGAAACCATGTTAAAGGATAGGATTGTTGAACATCTAAAAACACATGGATTTCAAAATCAGAGACAACATGGGTTTACTTCAGGGAGATCATGCCAAACTAATCTTATTGATTTTTGTGATTGGGTAACTAAAATTATAGAACTGGGTGGTGCAGTAGACATTGCTTACCTAGATTTCAGTAAGGCTTTTGACACTGTTGCACATAGAAGGCTTATCAATAAACTGCAATCTTTGAGTCTGGATTCCAATATTGTTGAATGGGTAAGGCAGTGGCTGAGTGACAGGCAACAGAGGGTTGTAGTTAATGGAATATATTCGAAGCTTGGACTTGTCACCAGCGGGGTACCTCAGGGATCTGTACTTGGACCCATTCTCTTTAATATTTTTATTGGTGATATTGCAGAAGGTCTTGATGGTAAGGTATGTCTTTTTGCTGATGATACTAAGATATATAACAGGGTTGATGTTCCAGGAGGGATAAGCCAAATGGCAAATGATTTAGGTAAACTAGAAAAATGGTCAGAATTGTGGCAACTGACATTTAATGTGGATAAGTGCAAGATAATGCATCTTGGACGTAAAAACCCAAGGGCAGAGTACAGAATATTTGATAGAGTCCTAACCTCAACATATGAGGAAAGGGATTTAGGGGTGATTATTTCTGATGACTTAAAGGTAGGCATGCAATGTAATAGAGCAGCAGGAAATGCTAGCAGAATGCTTGGTTGTATAGGGAGAGGTATTAGCAGTAGGAAGAGGGAAGTGCTCATGCCATTGTACAGAACACTGGTGAGACCTCACTTTGAGTATTGTACACAGTACTGGAGACCGTATCTTCAGAAGGATATTGATACCTTAGAGAGGGTTCAGAGGAGGGCTACTAAACTGGTTCATGGATTGCGGGATAAAACTTACCAGGAAAGGTTAAAGGATCTTAACATGTATAGCTTGGAGGAAAGACGAGACAGGGGGGATATGATAGAAACATTTAAATATATAAAGGGAATCAACACAGTAAAGGAGGAGACTATATTTAAAAGAAGAAAAACTACCACAACAAGAGGACATAGTCTTAAATTAGAGGGACAAAGGTTTAAAAATAATATCAGGAAGTATTACTTTACTGAGAGAGTAGTGGATGCATGGAATAGCCTTCCAGCTGAAGTGGTAGAGGTTAACACAGTAAAGAAGTTTAAGCATGCGTGGGATAGACATAAGGCTATCCTAACTATAAGATAAGGCCAGGGACTGATGAAAGTATTTAGAAAATTGGGCAGACTAGATGGGCCGAATGGTTCTTATCTGCCATCACATTCTATGTTTCTATGCCTTATCTCCACCTCTGGGCGAGGCTTGGTAATCCACAGGGTATATATCAAATGATACTGAAGTGTGTATTGTACTTTCTTGGGGCCAAAATCTAATTTTGAGTGAGTTATTCCTTTAATAAGTTCTGCCTTTGTCTGGTAAAGAATCATGTTACATGAAGAGACTAATTAGTGTTTTGCAATTGTTTAAATATTGTGCTAAGTTGTATTTGGTGGGTTTTTATTATTAAGTTATCTGGGCGGCCAAGACACCCCATTTAGAAATTGTCTTGGTGGTGGCAGAGTTAAAATAGTAATATTTATATTATTATGGTTGTGTTTCTGGTGTTAAGGGGGATTTTTATCAGTATTTCAGTCTAGTGTAGACAAATAGTGAACTTTAACCCTTTCACCACCACAATTACACATTCTTGGACTAGGGTGCATTCGTGACAACAAAACCAAATAATTTTTCAGCCGGTTGGGATTACAGCCAATTGAGGTGACAACTCCCCCCTGGAGTGCTTTGGGATGTCCACACTTTAATTGAACCACCAGACCTGATCCTGAAGCGACAATATGCGTGGACCCTTGATGAGACAAAAATAGAGGAAGGTCCAGGCACTCCAAAATACAATAAAGGCAACTTTTATTGAACCCACTGCCACTCACAACGTTTTGACCTGAATGGTCTTTGTCAAGCTTGTTCAGGTCGAAACATTGTGAGTGGCGGTGGATTCAATAAAAGTTGCCTTTATTGTATTCTGGAGTGCCTGGACCTTCCTCTATGTTTGTCTCATCAAGTATCTGGCTCCTGCTACTGGGACCGGCCTAGCTGCACCCAGATACATATTGTATGGGGATTGAGTGCATTTCCACACCCCTGTTTCTTGAATATGCAGAGACCCTGACCGCATTTGCTCTGGGATGAAGACTAGCTCCTGGTCCTAGAGCGGATAGCTGCTTTACTACCTACACTCCATGTCTCTTTCGACTAGGAGATGTTTTGTTTGTTTGTTTTATTTATTATTTCTCATCATCACTATTTATTGTTATTTTCCTTTATATAGAATCATATAATGTGACGGCAGATAAGAACCATTCGGCCCACCTAGTCTGCGCAATTTTCTAAATACTCTCATTAGTCCCTTACCTTATCTTATAGCTAGGATAGCCTTAAGCCTATCCCACGCATGCTTAAACTCTTTCACTTTGTTAAACGCTACCATAGCTCTTCAGCTGAAAGGCTATTCCATTTATGCACTACCCTCTCAGTAAAGTAATGCTTCCTGATATTACTTTAAAATCTTTGGCCCTCTAATTGAAGACTATGTCCTCTTGTTGTGGTAGTTTTTCTTCTTTAAAATATAGTCTCCACTTTTACTGTGTTGATTCCCTTTATGTATTTAAATGTTTCTATCATATACCCCCTGTCTCGTCTTTCCTCCAAGCTATACATGTTAAGATCCTTTCACCTTTCTGTAACGGAATACTCCATAACTTGTAGGAAATTTTTAAACTTTTAGTTTTCGTCCGTTCGGGAGTTATTGTATTCGAGCCCAGTCGGTTTAACTCCCGAACAAAGACCACACCAGTACCTCATTAGAACCCTGCAAACCATTAACATACATGCGAAACCGCAAGGGAAGTAATTGAGTGCTTCACCCGGGTGGACGCCATTTCGTGTAACCAAACACATGTGGTCGACAAAAGGATGGCGGCCATTTTGTCTCCCGATCGCAGGCAGTGCCTGAAACATTTAGTCTATGCACTCGCACAAACCCCAGTAAAGATTGTACCACTGCCCCGTCCTACTTCCCGACCAGCTATTTGAACGACGTTCGTTTGATATGAACCACCGAC